GTACTACAAATACCATCTTTTTGCATAACCATTCGAAAGAGATAATATTATTATTGGAAAATAATTCTTGAACAAAAAATCACTTTATACTTCATCTTAATTTACACCTTAATTTAAATCTTTAATCTTACTTCACCAAATTTATTTTCAAATTTCAAGATTTGTGATGTATCATAAAGGACGACTGGACTTTAGTCAATGACCAAATAGTATCTGTAGTAACTTATTAGCTCACACATAAGATTTGACCACCACATAATCAGCATAATATTAAACATTAAACATAATATTAAATTTTTCTAAAGTCATAGTTGTACTTGAGATATTAAGTTTTTCAAACTTAGAAAAATATTCACAATCAGAATTTAGTTCTGCTAGTAATTCGGTTTCTCAAACAATGAAACAGCCTTTAAATGGATTTTAGAAAAACAGTTGAATAATATAATAGGTATCAATAATAATAATACAGTTATCTCACTATAAAAAGTGTGTTGGGCTTGTATATTTTCTAAAATTTTGAAATACTATTTTGTAAAATTTAATATTTAGAAATTGTGGTGATATTGTAAACAATACCTAAATTACAAAAAGATTGAAAAGAGCCAAGTTCTAAATAATAATAAAAAAAAATAATTGTATACGAATCGAATAGGTAATTTGAGAAAAGACAAAGTATAGTATGTCAAGTACTTATATTAAAACAACGACAATTTTCTCCTATAATTATAAGTACAAAATATAGAATAATGCTGTAGAAAACATTTTTTATTAAATAGTGTAATCTAAAATTATATGTGGGCTTGAAATTTGTAGACGCTCTTTTGAAAGAGGTTTGCGTGTCATCTTTTGAAATTCAAATGGCAACCTATAATATTTTTAATTTCCTAGAGAAAGTATTTATTCAAATATATTTTGGTTTTGAATTAACGTTTTCCGTCTGGGAAAAAAAAGATTTAATAAAAAAATTACAAGATACCTTTTTTTGTTGTCTTTTGATTTACTTTCTTACCAAATGTTTTAAACAACACTTTTGTCCCGTATTTCGAATCCCACATTCTGTGTGTTCCTCAATTTTTCTTATTTCTTAAATTATATAATTCAAATTACTGTGTTATTATGAGATTGGGTAGTAAATAGCACTGTAGAAGTGTATATAAATTACATTTTTAAATTATGTCGACTTATTAATATGTCAGTTTTATTTTAACATTATTTTTCTTAAACTTTTGGTTTGAATGGATAACTTTTGAATTACTGACTAGTTTTGAGGGCTACTTCCTTACCATCATCCCCTCTCACCACATAATTTGTTGCAAAATGTGCACATTTTAAGTGAGATTTAAAATGTCCCGTATTTATAATACATAAATCTGGGATCCAAAGGCTAGCCAGTCTGCATTTCGTAATAGTGTGAGTTTTTTTTTTTACTATTATTTATATTGTTAAGCTAGAAGAGCCATATTTAATTATTTTATATTATACTAATTGCATTTTTACTTGTTATTAATTCGTGCACGCTAATTGCCACAACTATTATTATTATTGTTATAAATTTTTCCGTGCACTGATTTCCACAAACTTCATTCTTATACCTTTTATACCTATCTGTTGGGTCAAGAGAGTCATAGTATCATTTTTGGTTACTATAATATTACAATTTATTACCAGCACAGCAATTTGATTACCGTTTATTTTTATTTGCTCCTTTGTTATCATAATTTTAAGCTACACACCTACTAGTATACACACATATAAACCCATCGCACACTATCACTCAAGGGTTTTGCTCAGCGATCCCCGTCTACTTACTTTGAGTCACTAAGAATCTGGATTAAAAATTAAAATATCGAGAAAAAACCTACGTACAAACACAAACAACATGCTTATCCTTAAGTTGGTTAATAAGTTTAATACACTATAATATTAAAACGAACACAGCACAAAATAGATTAAAGTATATCGTCATTAACCGATTTTACAACATTAACCGTAACATATACATTAAATTCTCGTCTATATCCTACCTTCTCAACTTCTCACCTATAACAGTGGCTGCACCCATCCCCATTATCCTGGGACAGCTTTTTTTTACTGATGTTCATGGAAGAAAATGAATTTATATCGATCTTCTGGGTCAGCGATTTAGCGATAGTAGGTAGAGTGCCTCATAGGAACTGCCGTCTTCTGGCAAATAAAAGTTGAATATTATTACTCACAGTTATGAACATTACTACAAGGAAATTTATTTTATCAGCGAATCACAGGAGTTATTTGTAACAGGACGATTAGTCTTGTGAGTGCCGATTTTGCCACAATTTACAAACTTTGGAGAACTTACCATCGAGTCCCTACAAAACGATGTAATAACTCTTTGTACTTTTTGTTTAAAGGTTTGTTACCATTGACCGTACATTTTATAAGATATATTTTATAATTTTTAAATTTTGTTTTTAACATAACGAAAAAACAATTTAAATCCCAATCATTTATATTTGATAAAATTATTTTCAAGTTAATTTCGTATACACATTAAGATGTCTGATCACAAAGCAGTTATTAAAAATGCTGATATGTCTGAGGAGATGCAGCAATTTGCGGTTGACTGTGCTACCCAAGCATTGAAAAAATGCAGTATAGAGAAGGTATTATAAATATCACTTAAATAATCATTTACTTACATGTTAAGTATATATTCATATTCTATTCTCTATGCAAAAAATTGATTTAAATTTAAAAGTAATATTGTCCAATAGTTTACATTTAAATATATTGTATAATGTATAAATTAATTTGTACTATTTCTAATACAGTAGGTATACAGAGTGTCCTGTTATTTTTTTTTTCAATCGGTTTTTATATCAGTGGAACACATATGAAGAGAAAAATAATTTTTGTTGTCATCAAAAATTAATTAATTTTTTCAAAATAGCTATTTTGTAAAAAATATTATTTTATTATTTTTATTTAAATTTCAATGTGCCATACATTCATATCTGATCAATAGTTTCTGAGTAATAGCCGTTTTAATTTCTAGAAAATTGACGTAAAAACAGTTAATATTCTTTAAAAGACGATTAATTTAATAATTATTTATTAATAAAATAACAAATTACCTACGTGATAATGAATCACAATCAACATGGTATGTAATTCCTTATCTTTTATTGAAAAGTAACTGTTTTTACGCCAATTTTCTAGAAATTAAAACAGCTATTACTCAGAAACTATTGATCAGGTATGAATGTATGGCATATGAAAATTTAAATAAAAATAATAAAATAATATTTTTTACATAATAGCTATTTTGAAAATGTTTAAAAATGAAAAAATAAAGTTAATTAATAATTGTTTAGTATTTGCAAATTAATGAAAAACCTATTAGTTAAAAACTTAACGGTTCATAGAATTTAAATATATATATATATACTTATATTCTAGGTTTCACCACAACCGAAATCTGCATTTTATGAGTAATTCTAATATTGCATAAACATAATATTTTGTACTTGTATCAAAAAAAAAAAAAAAATATATTAAATTTAATATTTATTTATTTGAGATAGTGAGGTTAAATAAAAAATATATTTATTTTAGAGTAGTAAGTAATTAGGTAGTTTATATTTAGTTAATTTCAATGTTTGTTTTTGTTTCACATTTTCTATAATAACGTTTATAATTTTGAATAAAATTGTTCAATTTTTGATTTAATGAATAATTGTTTTATTAATAGGACATTGCTGCATACATAAAAAAAAAGTTTACCAAAAAATACAAGCCAACTTGGCACTGTATCGTTGGCCGCAATTTTGGAAGTTATGTCACCCACGATGTAGGTTATTTTATATACATGTATATGGGCCAAATGGCCATACTATTGTTCAAAAGCTAATAAACCGTGGCCGTATATTGGATTAGTTTTGGGTAATATCTATCTATGGCTGTAATATATAAAAATCTTCTTTTAATTATATAATTAAACTTCATTAATCGCAGATCGTAATATAAGAAAAAAATATTGTACATATTTTATTAATTATCAGTTATACGTAATAAAAACCTATTGTAATTTCCATTATTTCATATCTAAAACCACCTATTTTTAGATATTATTCTCCTCTTCTTTCCACCACCAATTAATTTCATTAAAATTTTACTGTTTCTCATTTCTCGCTTTTCATGACATGCCTGAATCATCTCTGTCTATTTCCTCACAATTTGTCTACAAGAAATAGTAGCCTCACCAAAGTATATGTGCTCATTTCTTATGTTATCATCTCGTTTCACTATACTTATACTTCTAGTATTCTCATTTCTGCTACACTAATACTCTGTTCTGATTTTCAGATGTTCTGTTTCTGGTTTTCTTTGGGTTATTTTGTACCTCAATGAAACTATCAAACGGCATTTCTATATTACTCTTTATACCATACCAATTTAATCTTTTGATTTATTATCTTTTATCAACGGTTACATAAAATGTATATCAGTGATATGAAGTCAGAAACAAATGTCAAAACCACGAAATGAAGTTAGTCACGGTACATACGATATCGGAAATAATTGAAATGAAATCAAAATGGCGGCCTTTCGCATCCCTAAATTTATTTACACTATACGCCTTGCATAGTACATTCAGTGGTACTATCCAATTGGAACATTATAACTTCTTATCCTCTATTTATCATCAGTTAATTTCTGGTCACCTAAAACTATAGAGTAAGGCTATGCTAAGACTCTACTTACTTTATGTCTAAAACCTGAATATTAATGATAGTTATTTTTTTCATTTATTAACAGTGTTGTACTGTGTGAGGTTATAACAACCTTTAAGACCAGTATTCAGAATCCTTTCGAGTATACGATTGTGGTAAATATGTAAATAATTGTTAAAATAAGGCATTCGTTTTTAAAAATATCACTTAATTTTCACAAATTATTTGTACTTATTTAAAACAAATTACTTTTCTTTATTCATAGGTATAGGGTAATTTTGTATAGAAATGTCTGAAAATCTATCAAAAAATGTCGAATTGCAAACTCAACTATCAGAGATATTAGATGAAGCTCTCAAAGATTTTGAAGATTCTGGCGAGAACACAGAACAATTAACAATACCTGAACTCCATACTTCCAATGCAGATGAACTTTTAAAAGAAGGTTATCAAGATACAATGAAATCATTTGTGGATAGTGATCAAGGGGAACTAGCAGCGAGCTTGCAACAAATGATTTTAGATGATGGAAAATCTGATATACAATCAATTATTCAAGAGTCATTGAAAAACTTATCAGATGCGAAACTTAATTTACCAGAGAAAAATGATATGACCTCAATGTTTGCTAACATGAGTATAAAGGATTTAATTAACTCAGACAAAGATATGGTACCTATTTTAATGACATGTTTGCAACCATTCTTGAACAAGGAATCATTATACCCCGTAATTAAACATCTGTGCGATAAATATCCAAAATGGCTTAAAGATAATGAACTAACTTCTGATAAAGAAAAATTTATCAAGTATGTTATTAATTATTATTATTGTGCATGTTTATAATATATTATAATAAATAATATTAACTATGTAAATGCTATTTATTAGTTTTATTAATTTTATTTATTACTATGTACATTTTATAATAATCATTTTAGTTATGCAAGAATGTTTGCTTTTATGATGGAAATCAAAGATAATTTAGAAAATCAACAAGATACTGATGATGAAATTACAAAAACAAGAAAGTTTATAGAACTTTTGGAGATGTTAAAAAAAATGCAAGAATGTGGCCCACCACCAGATGAACTGATAGAGAATACAGATGATAAATCATTAATACAAAAAAACTCTGAACAATGTAACCCCATGTAACACATCTTTAAACATATAAATTTAAAGTTTTATTTTAGTCTTATATCCTTAAAATTTCTTAACATTTAGATAAATAAAATCTTAATTGGTGACTAAATAAACGTAGGATATTGTATAGATGGAAAGGTAAATAATTTTAATGGTGGTACAAATAAACTTCAAAAATATACATCATTAGAATAGCCGGACCAGAGTTGAAATCAGGGGGGGGGGCTCTAATAAAAAAATAATAATAATAAGAAAAAGTGTGATACTAGAGATGGATAGTCATTGTTGTAAGTGGCAAATTGAGAAGTTAATACACATAGGATTACAACTGTAAGCACCATTGCTAACTTATTTTTAATTTTTTTTGGTATAAGATTTCTTGTAGAAGTTCTTTTGGGATTTATGCTATTAAAATAAATATTATAAACATGATAATTAAACATATTTGGAATCTACTACATTTATTAATGTTTCTTAAATAATTTTAAAAAATTATTGAAATGGAAAAATGTATTAAATTGTGTACTAATTTTTTTTGAGATTCTGATTTGATGTATTAGTTTTACCAAGATGTTAATTTTTTTTTTGTCTACCAGAATTATTGCTCCTATTAACAAACCTGGCACCTTTTCTGAAATTTAATTTTTCTGGGTAGAACTTTGAGGAGGTTATTTTGGTTTTCTTATTGGAATTCATAATAATTAGAAAAAAACCAGGAAATGGGGAACTTTCAAAATATGTCATTTTCAATTTTGATTTTTATTGTGATTCAGTTAAAAATATTCAGAGTAATTTTAAATATGGACAAAGACCTATATTTACTTTCTCTAGACCTATTAAAATTGGTATTTTATGGATAAAACTGTTAGATCAAACAAAAATGCTTGGGAATTGAATATAAGGTTTATTGTAAACAGTAATTTGAGACAAAAAAAAAAATTGTGTTTAGTGTAGAATTATTTTTTGTAAGTTTTATTTTAGTATGAAATTTTATTAAAAATCATAAATATTAATGGCCTTTTAAAAATTGTTTAGTATTTTCCTTTTTTTAGACTTACTACTGTAGTAATTCAAAAATAAGGCGAGGGGTGCCTAGTTATGTAAATTAGGTTCATACGTATAAGTTAACTATAAATTTGATTACCTTTCTTCTTCAGGCGGCAAATTGATCTACTGAATTTGATATAGATGACCGTAGTAAATAAAAAGATTTCAATATAATAACTGTTTCTATTTTATTAATTGTTTAAATATAAAACACTGTTCTAGGTTCCCGTGCTTTTGTAAGAATCTCTGCGTAGTCTTTTACACTCGCTTGTG